CAACACGCGGGGGGAAACAAAGCGCTCGGGGTGGGGAAGGTAGCGTGCGGGGAAAAGAAACAGCACGCGGGGGGGGAAAGGGTGACCATGATGATGATGTGGAGGAGGAGGATGAAGATGACGGAGATGATGATGATGAAGATGATGACGATGATGATGTTGAAGATGATGATGATGATGATGACGAAGAGAACGATGATGATGATCGAATCGAGATCGATTTGATTTCGATTTCGAATCGAAATCGATTTTATTTCGAATTCGAATCGAAATCGATTTTATTTCGAATTCGAATCGAAATCGATTTTGATTTCAAGATCGAAATCAAATCGAAATCGATTTGATGTCGGGATCGAAATCGAATCGATTTCGATTTCGAAAATCAATACAATTTTGGTTTGTCGAAATCGTCGGGGTTTCAATTTCGAAGCGATGCCCGATTTCAGAGTCCGACAGAGGAAGACGGTGAGACGAAGATGGGGGGGGAGACAACGAAGAAGAAAAGAAAAGAGACATTATCGAGGAAGAAGAAGAAGGGAAATAATAATAATAATAATGACGTGCCTGTGCGTTGTCGGCGTTTCAGGATTGGTGATGATGTGGCAATGACGACGATGACATGGCAACGATGACGATAATGTGGCAATGTCGACGTTGGAGATGATGACGGCGGGGATGTCGTGACAATGTCGATGACGAAGGCGATGATGATGATGATCGGAAGGCGTCATTGAAGCTGCTCTGCTTCGATCAGGGCGGGCGGGAGGGCGATCGACTCCGCTCTGATACCAGTGTGATGAGGCAGAGGCAGAGCAGCTAGGCTAGGCTGGGAGAGAGAGGGAGAGTGCAAGCACACACACACACGCTCACTCAACTTGACGCAGGCTCGACACGACGCGACGGACAAAGACACAAAGTGGCAAAGTGGCAAAGTGGCAATGTCACAGTTTTGAATTTCCGAACATAGTGTCGAAGCAAAGTCGCACTGAACACAAGCATTGAGGCTGAGAACTTTGTGTCCGTACTGTGCTTGAATCTGTACTTAAGTACCGGACTCAAGTACGTTCCTGCTGGCGAAAGTGAAATTGCCTCAGGGCCAGAATTGAAAATCGAAAGTCTGAGAGTGGGCGCCAGAATGCCGGATGGAGCCAAGTGTCCGAAATCCGGAAGTCCGAAAAGAATGAATTTGGAAACAGGTGCCAGAATGCAGATGGCGCCAACTGTCCGAAATTGGAAAAACGAAAACAAAGTAAAATAAAACAAAAGAATTGCAAAAACAAGAAAAAATAAATAAATAAGTTGGCGGATGGTAATCCACAGACCAGGGATCGAGCCCTGGTGGAGTCCGTAACACAACCCCCTTCTTGACTTGCATGAAAGAGATGGACTTATGTTTGGATTCAATTGTGTTTGAGTGGGATGTTGGATGATTGGGTAAGTGACCAAGGGGTCCGTGTGAGGCTGGAAGGAGTGTTGACCCTGAGCATTGTGGGATGTTGATTGAACTGGCTTGTGCAGGTGAGTGTTGGGAGAAAGCGGGGAAGGATCTTAAGACCCGAAAATCCATTACAGGCCAACTGACTTTGTCTAAAGATGAATGGAAGTGATGCAATGATTGATGGATAATCAAAGAATAGTGGAGAAGGAACCAAAGCCAGAAGAAAAAGAAAAAGACAGAACATAGCCCCTTTTTTCCAAGGTGCCTTTCGGGCTCGAATGCCCCTTTCCCATTTGCTTCGAGTCTGAATGACTCCTCACTGCCACCTTTGACTCTTAGCTTGGCTAAGCTGGCCTTACGAAGAGAGGAAGATACAGGTGAGGTCATTCACGACTGGAGCGGCTCTCCCTCTAGGAATGTTTGCACAAGGGTTGTCGTTGTGCTAGCCGAGCCTCAAGTGCAGGCGTTGACGGGGCTTCAGACTCTACCGTGTGGACCAGAATGGTTTTCTGGGAAGAACCTTGCTGATATGATGGAGGCGGCCGGAATGTTTTTCCGGGAATAAACCTTCCCAATATGATGGAGGCGGCCGGAATGTTTTTCCGGGAATAAGCCTTGCCGATATGATGGAGGCGGCCTGAACTCTGAGAGCCAAGCCAGGTGCTTGGGTGGGATGGAGGGGTACTATAGGCCATGCCCAAGAGGAAGGGAAACAACGGCCTTGGGTGTATTTGACCTTATCCAAAACTCGAGTGCAAGGCGGGCTGCAGTTAGGAACATCCCATAAGAACAGCCACAAGTAGGGTCCGCCCCTTCTTCCCTGAGGGGATTGGGACTTGGGACCCAAGCCCTGGCCCCGAGAAGAGAAGAGGGTCGCTAGAATTCCGTTATCGGGTGAAAAGAGGAGATGGGGAGGCCGTGTTACTTGGGGTAATCTTTGGCAAAAGTCCTACCCCCAAGAGGATGGGCACGCTGATTGGAATAGCCATCCAAGAGGAAAAATGCATTAATGGGGAGGGGGGGGCTGGAACGACTGATAGCCGGAAAGGGTGTTTTGATGTGAGTGCTAGTTTGGCCATGTTTGTCTGTACGTTATATGTGATTAGTGTTGCTTGTGTACATGAGAACCCCGCTTGGGAAGCAATAAAACATGCCGGAGCCTACCCCGTGTGAAGGAGGCCACTCCCAATGGGGAAACCACTGTGAAAAGCTATGTGCTATGGGGGACGGTCGGGGAGTCCGTCTTGGTGATACAAAAAGGCTAACCTCCTCATGAGGGTCACACTTGTGAGCTGAGGGATGGATCCAACCTTGCGCTGTGACCTGAACTCAGTCAATTGGAAGTAGACTCTTGAAAAGGTAGTAGCTACAAGGGGGAAGGGAAGCACGTTGTTAAGGGAGTAAGACGAGTCTCTTAATGAACCTCCCTATCCATATCAAAGAACTAGGTACAGGTGGTTCCGTGATCCCCCCTCCCTCATAGAAGCGGGGCTGTCCGGGCCTGCTCTTTCTCACTCAAAATTAGGCTGCGACACCAAACCAGTCCCTTTCACCTGCCGGCTGCTTCCCACCCCTCGAGAGTCTTGACAGACTTCCTTGGGACTGAGCTGCATTGTTGGATTGACAGGCTCATACTTGTCAACAAATAGCGAACTAGGCCGACCAGATTGCTAATCTACTGGCCTACTTTCGTTGGAACTACAAGACCTACCCATTGCTATACAGATGGGCCTACGACTCCTACAGGTTGGGACTATCTTACATGGGACTCCGCGACTTGGGACGAGGAGTGGAGTTTGAAACACATGAGATCCTTTCAAATCAATCACAATCCACTCATCAGGATGGGAAAGGGGTGGTTCTGGTGACTGTCTACAACACATGCACGCTCTTGTGAAAGTCACCGTCAAGCAATTCGTTTTGTCAAGCACTTGCTCTTTCTCTTCCCTACTGGTCAGAAGTGTGCGTCAAGCCCTGAATTGCCTGGGGAGCACTCGAATGGTGGCGCTTTAAATGCACTGGTCAGAGGATGCCTTCACCAATCCTGACTTGAGCCAACGGCTTGGAGGTCATTTGCCCTGTCTGTCTTGGCCTTGCTCATCTGCCCACCATAGAGTGCACTGGTCTTCTATCAGAGCTTGTTAGGTTGTCCATGTGGGGCATGTGTTGATGTGTTTGGGTACCTAAGTTGGACTTAATTTACATGTTGGACTCAGTAAGAGGTAAGGCTTTGTTGTTGAGGACATTGTCATCAGATTCTGATCCGGGGTAGTGGTTGCTCTTCCAACCCCCTGCTTTTAGGGCCCACTCACGACCTGCATAGTAGTTGCAAAGTGTGTGCTTGACTTGTGTTGCTGTGGATTGTGATGCAGGCCTTTCTCGAGCGCTGCCGAAATCGAGTTGTTCTATTTGACAACAAGACAACAGATCGTGTGAAGCAGGAACGACAGGTGCAGTGCCTGCTTGACTTGGTGGATAAGGTGGTGGCCGAGAATGGCGGTAAGCCTTATTTATGTGAGAGCTCCATCGAGATGCAAACCCTTGCTCAAGCTAAGGACAGGGAGGAATTCATGGAAAAGACGAAACTCACTCGATCAAATACAATATCTGAGGAAGAGTTTGAGAAGCACATAGAGGAGCTAAAAAAAGAGCTAGACAGAGACTACAAAGTAAAGTGGAAAATGTTCCAGGAAATGGTATGGCTCTCAAACAATCATCATCAGTTGTCATTTTTCCTGTTTTACTGCTCAGTGCTCCTCCTCCTCCCTTCCCTTGCCTCTTTCTCCTTCACCTGTTCAAAGCAATTATGTGTCGGGTTGTAGACAATCTCTAGGCTAAGTGCTAGCACACCCTTAGAGTTTTCACCTGTGCCCCATTGTGGCCCCTCCACCCCCCTTTCCACATTTCACATGTGCCTCGTCCCCCTCTCCCCCCCTCTTCCACATTCGTTGCCTCCAGCACCTTAGGCGTGTCAATGCCGAACCATGGCAAAAAGGGTTACATATCACGTAACTATTTTTAAGGCCTGGAAGGTGGGGAGAAGATTATCAGTACTGTAGTACAAACTATTTTTCAACATTGGAGCCACGGAGTGAAGATTATCACTGCAATAATACGGACTCCTAAGAACATTATGTGCATTTGACCCAGTATCTCCTATATCTATTGATATGCAGCATGATGTCCAGGATGTAGTGCGAAGGCTTTGGGAGAGATATCAACATGCAGTCGTGCCCATCGCCATGCAGTCATTTGTCGATGAGCTCCAGAAGCGATCAACATGTGATTTCCCTTGTAGAATCGTGGAGATCAAACAGTACGTTTGGGTGTTTAAATGTCTGGGTGCACGTTCACCCCACACTTTCCTGCTGACCAGTCTCACCTCTGCAAAGTTTGGCAGACGGATGTGAACGAGTGAGTCCTACCCATCCCAGACTTTTCTGCTGAGCTACCAGTTTTCAAAAAGTAGGCGAATAGATGCGTGCAAAACCAGTTTTTTTTTTTGTTTTTTTTTTTGTGGAAGGGCTTCTGAGGTGCACATGCGCCCAGTTTCTTGGCCGAGAAAAGGTGCCCTGGCCACTTCCATTGAAAAGGAGTGGACGAGTGCCCAATTTTTGTGAATATCAGTTTAGGCTTGCACTGGTTCATAACCTTGCTGTAGTACCCATTTTCTTAGCGCCACAGTACTGGTCTTCCAGACTACATGGGCATGGGGTTTGAACTTTCAGCCTGCTGTGGCATAGGGTTTTTTTCAGGCCAGGAACTTGCTGAATTATTCGGGGTTCTTTGATGATGTGAGCATCACTGTTCTGTCCGAAGGACTTGTCTCTCACTTTCTCAATGGATGTGCACTCTATCAATTGTGTTTGCAACATTTGAACTCTGCCCAAGCTAACCCACTCTTTATCTCACCAAAACATGATTGTCCCCACCACTATAAAGATTGCTCATTCCCAATCTTACTTTAAGATTGGATGTTTTTAAATTGGGATCGACCAAACCCCATTGAACGTGATTGGACTGCACCTCCCGACCTGAAAACTGGGCCACCGGGCAAAGAACATTGCACGTTATGCTTTATAACAATCCTTTTGACGTCTGATTCCTGATCTCACTTTAAGATCGGGCTGTTTAGGATCAGGACCAATGTGCAATAACCCATGTCATATGTCTCGTGGAAAAACCGAGGGCCAACTCGGCCGCCCTCAGCCCAGGCCGAAACAGGGGTAAAAGACCCCACACGCGGACTCAGGGCTTGGACGTGCAGCAGTTGACTTTGGTCAACTGCCGGGATCCCAACAGTCAAAGTCCAAAGGTACCTAGCCCAGGCCGCTGGTCAAGCACACACACTTGTTTGTATGCGGGTACCCAGACAGCATCAGGTCCAAGGGAGAAGTCTGCAACTGCACAATCTGGGCGTTCAGCTGGGAGTCAATCTGGACGGCTGTGGGAAAAGCACCCGAGGCCGGACAGCCTTGACCATTGCTACTTAAGGCTGGCCTCGAGTGAGTCAAGCATTCAGTCTTGCTATGCTACTTTGACGCTGGCCTGACTTTGACTAGACGCTGGCATTTTGCTGGCTCGACGCTGGCTAGACGCTGGCTGTGCATTGGCGATGCGGACGACGGCACGAGTTGGAGGCATGTTACATGCCCAGTTGGGCGATGTACATAATAACCGAGGATCCGCAATGTGATAAAAAGGACTGAATGGACAATGCAGTGCAAGTAGAATCTCAACAAGCAATGTGCATTCCGATACATACAAAATGGTGCTTTTATAGCGCAGGGAAGACTTTAGATACAAGTCCTGACCTGACCGGGACTGACCTCATTCACGTAGCACAAGATAGCGAAGCAGAATGCTAGAATGCAAATGACTAGCCCAATCAATGTTTAAACGCAGACCAAACACGCATCATGTCCATCACAAGGTGTGAAGGAGCCTGGCGCTATACACAGGAAAGAGGCGCCAGGTCCAGACATACACAGACAAAGAGGAGGGGATCAGACGAAGAAGAGGAAGTGGACCTGGGGGAGATGGGAAAGTCGTCAACACCAAGTCTCGTTTCACGTCCCAAATAATCCCTCTTCGATATGTCTGAAGTCCAATGTCGAGTCTGGATCCAAATGTCACCAAGCTCTCTCTCTCTCTCTCTCTCTCTCTCTCTC